ACTTTTTTTATCTTTCCTATTCAAACTCTGCCGCAAGCATCCTGTTCTCTGCAAGCTTATTTTCCAGACTGACTGCAGCTGTGGAACACTAATCCTTCATATATTTGCATTTAGTATCTGCAAATGACATTTGTGTCCTTCTTGTGGTTGCTTGTTCATAATAATCTGCAACCCATGTATTTTTTTTTAAAGTTTTATGAGCTTCTGTCTCGCACAGATGTTGCTTGAATCACTGAAAACTGCCTGCCATTATGTTTGGTATCCTTCTTGTTTGTGGGTAGAATTTCATATAATAAAAGAAGTTCTCGTGTTACTTCGAATCTCTGAAAGTGTGTGATGAAGTTAGAGATCCAGGTTTGGCTTCTGTGAGCTAGAAAGCCCTGGAAAACATGCTGATATGTTGAAATAAACATACCCAGAAACTCCATACTGATGCAGTTTTTGTCATGGATTGTTTTTGTGCATGGTGTTGGGTATCAAAATATGGAATGTATTTCAAATTGTGATAGTTTCTGGCAAATCATACTTTTCTTTGGAGAAATAAAACTAAAATTTGCATTTAAGAAAAAGCACTTAAAGTTCCCAGAAGGCTTGGTGCTTATCAGAATAAATGAAGTATCTTGCTAGCTTCTGCCTTGATTAGATTATTTTTTTATAGCAAAAAAATGTATTTCCCCTTAATGTTCTTTGTCTTCCAACTTGGATAACAGAACTTAAAAGAAATACTTGGAATACGTTGTAGAATGCAATATGGGGTAAACTGGAACTTGGAGCATCTGAATAGGTCCCCTATAGCCTGTCCCAAAGAAGCCAAGTCAATCTAACATTGAACCTTTATTCGTATGATTATAAGTGTTGGCATTCATGCATGTGTTTCTTTGGCACAGAATTTTAGCATTATTTGGATGTATGGTAGGTTCTTTTATATCGCAAGAATAGATATTCTGGATGCAGTTTGTTTATAGATGGTGGGTTTGAAGAGGGGGGGAAAAAAGGGAAATGCTATAATTGAATACACTTTGTGTTAACTTGACACCCCCCCCCACCCTTCTGATTTGCATAGTCAGACCTGCCCTTGTGTTGCAGCCTGCCCTTTTGTGGCTAAAAGGAGAAAGCCATGAACTGAAGTGTTTTAAATTAATTAAATTATTCAGCTTGGATTTGAAACATTTTTTTTTTAGCTTATTTTTAACTGGTGCTTTTATTTACAGAATTACAGAATTGCTTAGGTTGGAAGGTACCTTTAAGATCATCTAATCCAACCATTAAAAAAAAAAAACCAAACCAAAAAACCCAACAAAAAACCAAACAAAACACACACACCAATACTAAACCATATCCCTGAGCACCATGTCAATCCGTTTTTTGAATATCTCCAGGGATGGTGCCTCAACCACTTCCCTGGGCAGCGCATTCCAATGCCTGATAACCCTTCCCGTGAAGAAATTTTTCTTAATATCCAACCTGAACCTCCCCTGGTGCAACTTGAGGCCATTTCCTCTTGTCCTGTCGCCTGTGACTTGGGAGGGGAGACCGACCCCCACCTCTCTACACCCTCCTTTCAGGGAGTTGTAGTGAGCGATAAGGTCTCCCCTCAGCCTCCTCTTCTCTAGACTGAAAGAAATAATACCAAGACTTATCAGAGGAATGGGACTTACAGGGAAAATGTTTCCTTCAAGAATGTGCAGAGGTTATGTCATGATATGAGACGACTTCTGGTAGGATTCAAGAAAGTTAATGTGAAAAGACATAATTAAACTTCATAAATGAAAAACACTTGAAAATTTAAGTGAGATGATCGAGAAAGCACCCAGCTTCGCTACTGAATTCTTAAATTATGACTGTACTATAGTGCTGTTTACTTAAAAAAAAGCGAAAAACTAAAACACAAAGTCCCCTCACATTTCTGGAGAAAGCTTTTATGTATAGGGATGTCATCTGTCAGCTTTTCCAGCTGCTGTAGGCCAAGTGCTGGATGCAGAACAGAAAACTAGCATTCTTTCTTGCTCTGTATAGTGTCTTTCAGCAGCTCTAGGCTGAGTATAGGGCGTGGGAGGTTGGGTAGGAAGAGGACTTACCTGAAATGACAAACAAGATTCCTTTTTTTTTTTTTTTTTTTTTGTGCTGACAGCAAATTTAGGTGGAGCATTATAAGCTGTTTGGAAACATCCTTTTCAGATTAGATGCTCGAGAGTTTTGTTGCTGGAGATGTGTGTGTGTGATGCTTGTGTTTGGGACTGACTTTTACAAAATACCTGATAAAACTTTGTCTCAGTTAGGTTCACAACGCTATGCTGGTGGTATATATTTAGATAGAAAATAAAATTTCTTAAGTTAGCTCTTAATTGTAAGGGGGCTAACCACTGAGCTCTGTGGAGCCTTGCTGGGGTAGTCCCAGATGTTCCTCTGACCCCACGCTCCGTTTACTATACGTGCAACTAAAGTGGCGGAGTGGGCGTGCACCCTTAGCTACTCCAGCTCATTATTTTTTTGACTACTGGAAACTTCCAGTCAAAATGTTTTTTCACTAAGAGGATGATTCTCAGAGTATGAGACCCGAGTGCGTTTGCTTCTACGCTCTGCTGTGTGGTGGTAAACTCCGACAGCAGATTTGGGCAAGGAAAAGAACTGGAAATATTGGGCAGCTGTTTGCTCTGTTGACTAAAACTTAATCCCAACAAAAAGATGAGTACAAGTAAATAATGAACATGCATTAATTGCATAGTTATCAGTTATTACTTATTATGTGATTTTTATAAAAATACCATGCTTTAATTACAAATAACTTTTGTACATCTCTATATCGTTGTGCTTGCAAATTCAAAGAAGGTAATTCTTTCTGTTGATGCTGTATCTAGTTACAGAAACCTTAGGCTAAAGTAAAAATAGATGAATGACTCACCTGGTTAGATAATTTCAGGAACTGTACTACAGAGCAGTCCTTGGTATTATTACTATGTTGAAACCAGAAAAAAAAAAGACAAAAACCCCTTTGGGTTATGAAACAATGAGTTTTTAGGTGGTATAAGAACAAATAAAAATAAGTAAATTATTACGGAAGACATTGAACCTGCACGACTATACTATAGTAGTTCTTATTTGTAAGTGCTAAAACTATTATGTATCATCTGTCCTTCAACCAGCAGAAGGTATGAAGGTAGCAAAGAAAAAGTATGTTATGTTCTGTAGACGGACTGAGGAAAATCTGTTTGTATGCTCACAACTGATCCAGATCAGGAGATCCCTCAATCCAGTACCTTAAATGTTTTTGATCTACTGGTTTGGTTCTCCTCTCAGTTCAAAACTGTGTTTCCAGAGACCTCTGCTGGAGAGCTGTCTCAGAGCTGGTAACCTGGGTTTCCTGGGAGAGATCTGCTGGAGCAGAATAGATCTCTTTGGTTTTGTTTTAGTTTATGTTACGTAGTGTGGGTGTAAGAACTAAACTATGCAAAGAATCCATCTGTCCTGCTTACAGCTTTCCTTTGGTTCTGGAAGTGAGAACAGGGAGAGAGACACTCTCCTAGTACTTTGCCATAGCACCTCTGCTGGCTTCCCAGAGCTGTGGAAGAAGGACACTTGCGGATGATGAGCGCATTTTATACATGGGCAGTCGTTCAGGAAAGGATTCTGAAGTAGGAGAGTTGTTGTGGAGAAACTGTAGGAGTGTATGAGGCACTGAATAGTGGTGGAAGCTTACTCGAGAATGGAAGACTGGAACTGAGGCTGGTGTTGCAGAATCAGATGGGAATAGACTGGAAATAGCTGGAAGGAAAAATAGCAGACAATGCGTTGTTCAAGAGGGGCACACTAAGACTGGCTAAGCAAACAGCTTGAGATGGGCACTGGAAAGAAAAAACCCAGTAAGTGAAAATTGTAAGTGACTAAGTACAGAGAATAGATGAGGTTGAGTCCACCTGAGCTTGAACTAAGATTTCAGTTCTCTTCTGTAGGAGATGTGGAGAGGGAAGTATTTCTGAACCCATTGGTAAAGTATCAGTTCTCTCTTATTGCTGGTTTGCATGTAGGATGGCTTGTACTGCTTTTCATCAGTCTAAGTGGTGTGGTTTGCAAGAAAGTTTGTGAGTATTCATGTTGGAAGCATGTAGGTGTGGTATTTTGTCTTTTTTTAAGCTAGGATATTGCACTAAAAGTCTTGCAATTTTGTCATTTTAATAGTGTTCTTTCAATGGGAAGGGCTTATGCATGGCATTTCTTTTCTTGATGCTCCCCAGAGCCTTGCTGTCAGTTTTGTTTTCGTTACTGTTCTGTCCTACCCCCAGCTTCCCCATACTTTTTTTTTAAGCTCTTTCTAAATGTGCTGTAAACCACACAGCATTATTGTTGGTTGTCTTTTGTACTCCATCCAGTTTGCGTCCATATTGTGGACATCACGCTTTAGAGGAAATTACATGTTACGCCAACTAAGGTCTTTGTGGCTCTGAGGAAAATAACAGAAATCATTCCTGTCTTAGAATGTTCCCAATGAAATGGCATAAAAGAAGAACTGGTTGAAGGAAGTACCTGGTCATCCATCACGCTTTAGAGGAAATTACATGTTACGCCAACTAAGGTCTTTGTGGCTCTGAGGAAAATAACAGAAATCATTCCTGTCTTAGAATGTTCCCAAGCTTCCCCATACTAAGAAGAACTGGTTGAAGGAAGTACCTGGTCAAGATTTATCACCAAAATAAAGGCAATTAGTTGTATCTCTCTCTTCTTTTAACTAGGTAGTTTTAAGATCAAGTCAAGTGAATGTGTGTGAAGGAATAGGGATGCAGAGCTGAGGCCCATGGCAGGACTGCAGCTGTATGGATTGCAATCACCTTTTGGGTGTTGGAATCGTTTCTTGGATTATTTCTTCCAAGAGGAAAAGGGTGTAATACATGCTGGTTGTTCATCATATAAGTACTCATAAATTATTGTAGTCTTTCTATTTTAAAAGAACTTGTGATGAAATATTTGATTACTTAGTTTCTAAATCCGCATTGATAATTCCTTGATGGGTTTTTCTTTTTTCTTTCTTAAATTTTCTTCAAAGCATCTTTATTGGTAGACCATTGATGTAGTCTGACATGACAATCCTATATTCCTGCACAGCTCTCTCCTACCTTTCCTTCTCTAGTTACATATAGATAAGAGGGGGCTTGAGCACTTCACTTTAATAAGTGGCCCAAATCTGTGAAAGTAATTTTCATTTCAGTAAGTGTTTTGGTTTCGGTATTTTTATTCCATGTTCCTCTTATATTTATATAAAAGACATGTAGTTTCATTGAACTTCTAGACATCTACACTGCCACAGTGAGGCTTTCAAAATTCTGATGTACCATTCAAACAGCATAAACAAAACCGTTATATTATTTAATGATAAGCCTTAGTATTTAGTCTTAATCATGGATGTTTAGAGAAGACCAAGGATTCTACAAACACGGCTTACTGTGGGTGATTACAATGATTTGATTTTTAAGTGACTTTTTTGTACATCAATATGCTGTGTGTATTACAGAAAGGAATATTAATTTTGCTTTCCTCACAATCTAAAACATGAATGGTTAAAAAAATTGCTTGCAGTATATGGTCATCTTTAAACTGGCTTCACTTGTAGCACTGGCAGTGGAGGAACAAAACCTAAAAATGAGGCAAATAGGTGTAAAATGTTTTAGTAAAATTACTTCAGAATATTTCTACTGGTTTTGCCAAGGTGCACTATCCTGCAGTTGTGCTGACACAACGATTTATAGGTTGAAATGAATATATGTGAGATGGATTAGTTATATTGATATGTCTGTATGTCTGATGGCAAAACTGCTCATTACTGCCTTTCTTGGAACCTTTTCCAAACACATGGAATGGTTTCCATACAAGGAACAGCTAAGTTTAGGACCTCTCTATCTGGAAAAGAGATGACATGGCAGGGAGACGTGTGATGGAGACTCACAAAATCATGACAGATGTGGAGAGAGTGGACAGAAGTTGATAACTCATTTCTTCCAATACATGAACTAGGAGATCTCAAGCAAAGCTAATGTTAACCAGATTGAAGCAAAATAAAGTCCAGTCCCTCACCCCAGGGATAGTGGACCTGTAGAATTAATTGATAAAGGGTGTTCCTGGATGCTAAAAGATCATGTGGATTTTAAGCAGGCTGGGTAAGTTCATGAATGATAAATGGTTTGAGATTTACTAAATATAGAAAATCACATCTGCCTTACCAGGTTCTTCTAGAGAAAAATGAGAGCGTATTTGGGATATATGTTCTATGTTCTCAGTCTTCGATGGCAGCTATTTATAGCTGTTGCTGAAGATCAGGATACTAGTAGAAACGGATCTCATACTGACCCAATACAGCTGCTCTCATGCACTTTCCTTATATTCTGTTGCTAAAGCTGATCCTGACTTTCTAATTCTTTTCTAATCCTGATTTGAGTATGACAATCAAACTGTTAGCACACCAGACTTGGAGGAGGGGGAAAAAAAAAAAAAGAAAAAGATCAAAATGTGCCGCCTCCCTTTCAAGGCACTTAGCTCTCCCTCAGTTCTTAATTTATAAATACTTTTTTCCTCTGTCCCTAGTGAAAAATGTAAATGTGAGGCCACAGAAACAACAGGAAAGCCTTGCATGCAGTTATGAGAGAGACCACTGAAGGTGAGGCTAGTATAGAGGAATTTTACTTGCATAATTAAATGGTGTCATTTCAAGGAAGGAGTGGAAGACGTGGAACCTATCCCTGATACCCAGCCTGCTCACTGTATATCTGTCTTGCATATTTATACATTAACACAGATGATTTTTTGACCAGATTGCTGGTCTGTTGGATTTGGTTTACCAGGATTGGACCATAAGTAACTGGTTTTAGAGAAAAATGGGGGTAGTTGAGCTTTGACAGTTACGATTTTGATCAGACTTGTTCTTGCAGCCTGGCTTGCCCTGTGAGGGTCTGACGCATCTTAATTTTTTTATTTCTATCTTAATTTTCCTCCACCTGTATAAGTCAAACTGACTTCCCCTGTCAGTTTTGCTCACTGAAGGAAGTAAATGTTCCATGTAATGCAGTCTGCTTATTTTATCACCTTGGAAGTCAAATTCTTAAAGGTGAAATAGTAAATCATGTTTGTTTCTATGATTATGACTAGTAATGAATTACAGAAGATATTTTCTCTTTGTTTCCTTTAGGTGCGTTTCTCATATATGCGGATGAAGTATCTCTTCATCTCTTGGTTAGTAGTATTTATTGGCAGCTGGGTTATGTATGTTCAGTACTCCACCTACACAGAACTATGCAGAGGACATGACTGTAGGAAAATAATAGTGAGTATATTTAACATAGCTTTCTTAAGTGTTTGTCCTGACGAATTCCACAGATGGTTCAGTCAGTGCCATATGTAAATTAATCAAATTCTGATATTTCATCATGTTGAAGTAAGATTACGTCTTCAATTACAGACAAAACTATTTATGTTTCTAAACATTGTTTTGGTATAGGGTTATTAAAATTGTTTTCTTATATTTTGTGTTCAAGGGCCAGGTGCTCAGAGAGATACAGTTGTTGCCTCCTCTCTTGGGCAATTTGTTCAGTATTTTTCTTCCTATTTGTTTCAGTGTGATAAATATAAGACTGGAGTTATTGATGGGTCAGCATGTAGCAGCCTTTGTGCTAAAGAAACATTGTATTTTGGAAAGTGTTTGTCAACAAAGCCCCATAACCAGGTAAGGCTTTGCTCATCTAACCTCATTTATTATTTCGCACTGAAATGTTATTCTTCAAAGCCCCATAACCAGGTAAGGCTTTGCTCATCTAACCTCATTTTATTATTTCGCACTGAAATATTACTCTCTTGTTTCCTTTAGGTGCGTTTCTCATATATGCGGATGAAGTATCTCTTCATCTCTTGGTTAGTAGTATTTATTGGCAGCTGGGTTATGTATGTTCAGTACTCCACCTACACAGAACTATGCAGAGGACATGACTGTAGGAAAATAATAGTGAGTATATTTAACATAGCTTTCTTAAGTGTTTGTCCTGACGAATTCCACAGATGGTTCAGTCAGTGCCATATGTAAATTAATCAAATTCTGATATTTCATCATGTTGAAGTAAGATTACGTCTTCAATTACAGACAAAACTATTTATGTTTCTAAACATTGTTTTGGTATAGGGTTATTAAAATTGTTTTCTTATATTTTGTGTTCAAGGGCCAGGTGCTCAGAGAGATACAGTTGTTGCCTCCTCTCTTGGGCAATTTGTTCAGTATTTTTCTTCCTATTTGTTTCAGTGTGATAAATATAAGACTGGAGTTATTGATGGGTCAGCATGTAGCAGCCTTTGTGCTAAAGAAACATTGTATTTTGGGAAGTGTTTGTCAACAAAGCCCAATAACCAGGTAAGGCTTTGCTCATCTAACCTCATTTATTATTTCGCACTGAAATGTTATTCTTTAGACCATGAAGTAGACTTTAGGATCAGTAAGCAGTACCTGTTTGATACGGAGTATTTCAAACTCTATTTGCTGTGACATGCAGAGCATGTTTATCTATATTGTATATCATATACCTATATAGAGAGAATATCTAGGTATACTATATACAATATGCACCTGTATATAATATACCTGTATATAACATTACATATTATTCCTCTATGTAGGAATATCTAATATAACATTACATATTATTCCTCTATGTAGAGGGGTATATTACTATTTTATAAACATGTATATAAAATACATGGTTTCTTCCACATTTTAACAGCATACTAATTCTCTGCTTTCCTGCTTCCCAGATAGAAGCAGCAGCCTCTTAACAACCCGTGCAAAGATGGTAGTAATGCCAATATACTGCTTATCAAGCTCTCTTTTGTGTTTTGACACTGTAGTGTCTCTCAGATACCTGCAGTAGTGTATTGTTTGAACTTGCCGTTGTTTGAATGTGCTCTCTGTACTCGGGACTCTGTTTTCTAATCTGTGTTGTCACTTGACTCTTGAAGCAGTGGTTGGGGTACAAGGTGGTCTTTAGATGATGGGCTTCTACAGTGTTTCTTAGCTTTTCCCCTCTTCACCTGCACAGATGTATTTAGGAATCTGGGGAAACCTCCAAGGTGTTATAAAATGCCAGATGGAAGAAGCTGCCCAACCTGATTTTGGTACTGACCCAGAACCAAGGAAGGAAATAGTCCTGTTTGATAAACCAACAAGAGGAACCACTGTTGAGAAATTCAAAGAAATGGTGTATGGTCTTTTTAAAGTAAGTGTATGCTTATTTATTCTACTTTGATAGAAAGGCTTATTTTCCTGCAGCTGGAGAGAATGTCCTATTGTATGAGCCTTGTTCAAGAGTATGTCAGAAAAACAGTCAGCACAAAGATGTTTTTTCCCAGAGGTGCTTATCTTGAAGTTTAACTAATTATCAGGTTTTTTCCTTGCTTTTTAGCAGATGCAAGCAGGTATGCATCTTGCATATCTACAGCTTCCACTTGTATTTGTATAGAAAATATGGTAAAAATATATCTTTTGCTTATTTTGGGGCTATTGTAACCAGGTACAAAGACTGAAGCACAATTTGGAAACTGTTCATGCTTGGCAAGAGTGACTATGTTAACTGACCAGCTGGAATGTCTCCAGCCAGAAGGACCAGCCATGCTTCTCCCAGTTCTTTCGGTGTTATATTAATGCGATACTTATTTCTGTTGACTGAATGGTACCCCAGAATTCTCATAATATAGAGTCATCACTTCGATGCTGCGTCAATACTGATTTTGAGTTTTCTTTCTTAAAATTTTCTTGCCATTGTCATAGCTCTTATGTCTGCAGTGATGGAAATAATGCTGTTCTAGCCGAGTGAGCATATGTGCACACATAGAAGATAATTATGTAAAGCTGATGACAGTTGTCATGCATTACAGTAGCTTTGTCTCTAAGAATGGCTGAGCAACAGGTGTTTTAGAGGAGTTTTTAGGAGAATTTGGGAGAAGCTCATGTGACTTTCTACGTATGTTGGTAGTTGAAAATACAACAGTTCGAATTCCAGCAATGGCTTCTTTCTCTCCATTGAGACAATGGAGGTTGTTATATCAAATAACAAAATTAAGCATTTCAGTAGACTTATTGAATGGGATTTGTACCCAATGTGTCTTGGTACTTTTTATAGTTGGCCAAAATGTAGCTGATACTGTAATTTCTGTACGCCTGTAAGGTTTAATCAGGTGAAAACTAAACCTGATCCAAACATTTGATTTCCACATACTAGTACTTTCAGAAGATCTTAGTGCCTTGGAAAACAGAACAAAACTGAAGCTCTTCAGGTGTCTGGTAGCAAGGCCTATAACTCTATAGCCAATGAAAGCTAAACTTAACATACCCTAATGGCACTATCCATAGGAGGAGAGTAACAGGAGGTAGAATGATGGCTGGATTGGTAGTAGTTGATGAAATCATACTTTATCTTTCTTGTTGTTCGTTTGTTTTTAGGCAAAATTGGGTGAACAAGGAAATCTTTCAGAACTGGTTAATCTCATCCTGTCTTTTGCTGACGGAAACAAAGATGGTAGAGTTTCTTTGCCAGAGGCGAAATCTGCATGGGCGCTTCTGCAGCTGGATGAGTTTCTCCTAATGGTGATCTTGCAGGATAAAGAACATACACCCAAGTTGATGGGATTTTGTGGGGATCTCTACGTGACAGAAAGAGTTGAATATACCTCTCTCTATGGAATCAGCCTTCCATGGATCATAGAACTTTTCATTCCCTCTGGCTTCAGAAGGAGCATGGACCAATGGTTTACTCCATCGTGGCCAAGAAAGGCAAAAATAGCTATAGGGCTTTTAGAATTTGTGGAAGATATTTTCCATGGACCTTATGGAAACTTTCTTATGTGTGATACAAGTGCCAAAAACTTGGGATATAATGATAAATATGATTTGAAAATGATGGACATGAAAAAAATTGTGCCAGAAACAAATTTGAAGGAAATAATTAAAGATCGTCAGTGTGAATCAGATTTGGACTGTATTTATGGTACAGATTGTAGAACTCTGTGTGACCAAAGCAAAATGAGATGTACCACAGAAGTAATTCAGCCAAACTTGGCGAAAGCCTGTCAGCTACTTAAAGACTATCTGCTTCGTGGTGCTCCTTCTGATATCCATGAAGAACTAGAAAAACAACTGTACTTGTGTATTGCCCTTAAAGTCACAGCAAATCAGATGGAAATGGAGCATTCTTTAATACTCAATAACTTAAAAACTTTACTCTGGAAGAAGATTTCCCATACAAATGATTCTTAGCCTTTTCACCAGCAGAAGATAATATTGGTGCCAGCCACTAGAGGTGGCCCACCACGTTTGATAAAAACAATCTGCAGCGTTTTTTAGAGACACTTCTTTGCTCAGATTTCATGAATGCCTCTTTATCTCTTGCCCTTCAGTCAGGACCTTATGACAGGGCTTCTCAAAAAATGAACGTGCCACCGAACGATGGGGCAGAGGCCAGAAGCATTTCCAGTGTTCCATTGCTGCGCTAAGGAAACACAAAACCCTGCATGCGTGACTGTTCTGTGCACTTTGTCAGATCTTGAACAGGATGAAAGCATTCACTGTGCCACCGCGTCAACTGATGGAGCATCTTACGATTCTGTGAAAATCATCGCTCACTTGTGAAATACCTGCAAAAGATTTTTATCCTACGTAGTTTTCTGACGAACCACCACTACTGCAAATAACGTGTCCGAGTCCAAGCTGCTGTTGTGAATAAACTGAACTGTGAGACTGAAGTTTACTAATACTTTGGCATGGCAGAATTTGCACATTAATAATTTTTAAACTGTGGAAAAATTAGAATTTTATTCTAGAACTGACAGCTTGTAATATGAGACTTAAATCAGATTATGTTTACACCTTGTTACCTCATGCTTACTTCTTGAATGTTTAAGTAGTTCAACATTTTTTAATTAAGTCCTTATACAGTGAACCATGCTGGGAGCCAAGAATTTTGGAATATGTTATTTCTTAAAATCATGCATATAGTCTAGCAGCAATATCAACATCCGTTTCAAAAACTGTAAATTACTGTACTTCAGTTGAAACCTTTAACCCAAATTAAGCTGTAACAAAAACTGAAAAGTAAGGAGATTGCGGACTAAGCTATTTTATGAGAGCTGAAGCTAATTTTTAAAAATACTGTCAGCAGAAATGTCTTAAGTTTAAAAAAAAACCAAAAAAACCCAGCTTGCATAGTTTAGGAATCTGCTGTATGACATGTGAAACAAGTAATAATTGGGGATAAAGTCTTGACTTTTTACTGTCCCTCCAAATTTAGCTACAGACTTCCACTTAAATCCTCTTGAACTATTGCAGGAAGCATGTAAGCCAGAGCTAGACCTGAACTGTAGGACAGAAGCAGGACTGTCCAGGATCATGAAATGTTGCTTAAATGGGAGCCTCTGAGATAGTGACAGTTAGGAATGAGGTGGAACATAAGTGAGCTGTAGTGTTACTATTTTTCTCTCTAGTAGCATCTATGAATCATTGTTAAATCTCAAGCCATGAGTAAATAACCACCATCTGATACAGGCATTGTACGTGGCATGACCACTGTAGCACCTTCTGCATCCCTGCTGTTCTCAGATTTATGTCTCTGTTCACAGTTACGCAGAATTAGATGTCCAAAAACCACCTTAATACTATGTTCAAGAATACTTATCTGTTAATGTTTAATTTATAAATGCTTTAGGAAATATAGTTAAATCCTTAGTGATTTTAATGCCCGTCATCCATATACTTCTAAATCCTGGCTCTTTAAATTAGCTTTCAGCATGGGCAACAAGGACAAGCTTTATTTAAATATTTGAAAGATTGTTAATTGCTTTAGGTATCCTGTATTAAATGCATTCCTTGAAGGATTAAACTGAAGTACAGGATGAACAAAGTCATTTCTCCATACCATATGTAATAGTATGCAGCTTGGGTTAAGAGTATACTGTTTTGTAAACATCATCAGCTTTTTAGTTTAAGAATTACTATGCTAATTATTATCTCTAAGTTGATATGTCCTCCCTTCACAAGTTATTACACTCAAAGGTGAAGTGGTCATGTTCTTGGTGGAAAAATCTGACTGTAATTGCTACTAGGTTGAATCCAAAATGACATAGGCTATCTCAAACAACTGGAAAACATGTTTAATAGTGCAGTTTGTTGTACAGAACCTTCACTTTCATTGCTGTTGTTTGTTTACAATAAATCACAAGCCTCCTTTTCTCTTTCAATAGCAGTACTTATCTGTCTATATCTTAAAGGAAAACGTTCTTCTGTGTAGCCTACTTGACTCATGTTCTAATTGTGCAAGTAACTGCAGTTAAGTGTAAGTGCCTCTGAAACCGAGATGTAAGAGAAAATAAGGGAGAGGGGCAAGTCAAGACCTGTGTAACCAAGCCCATGTATGCAACTTGAAAGTGAATCCTCTTGTCTAATCACTAAACGATGTGAAGTGTTTAGCTTAAGACAGTACCTCTTTCAGTAGCAGCCAGAGTTTGGAGCCGAGTGCATGGAAGTGCTGACTTCAGTTACTGGAAATACTTCAGTTAGACGTATATTCCTGTATCAGCTGCAATTAAGTCATATTAGGGAAAGTGTTGCCATTTGTGTTCCTGAAAGCCTAAGGCTGCCTTGGGGCAGAGGCTTTAGAACTTACTGTGACAAGTCCTCTGCTTTTTTCTTAAGCTACATACACATTCCCCCATAACATTAAGTATGCTGAAAGAAAAATTCTGAAGGATGCGTAAAGCCCTCTTTAAAAATTTAAAATCTTTTTGTAGTTAGAAGCAGCAAGTTTTTATATCTAGTTTTTGATACTAATCATGCCAAAAATTAATCAAATTGATCTCCCCTTCTTGGAGGAATAATTCTAATGCAGCAGCCTTAGTTTTGAAGTCTTCTCCCCTGTGAAGGAGTTCAGTTCATACAGTACTTTGAAGGGGGAAAAAAACCCTTAAGGCTACAGAATAGCTGGATCTTAAAAAAAAATATTCTGCATCTTTAGAAGACATTATTAAGCCAGTCTTACACAGTTGCTTACTCAATAAATTTATTGCCACTTTTTCCAAAGCTTCATAGAAAACTGTGGAAGTTGTCTTAACTGTCAGCTGCACGCTCCTGGGCCCTGAGAAAGCTCGCCTTCTTCTGAGCAACACGATCTTTCTTCTGGGCGAGGGACATCTTGGGACAGTTCCATCTGCAACATAAGCACAGTGTGTGATGTATCAAAGGCAGAAATAAGCGAGGTGGTCAAGAAAGCTGCAGTGCATGAGAACTATGATGAAGAGTGCTATGCTAGAATGTATTCTCACTTCTACAACACACTTTATTTCCTCATCATGATTTCAGGCTGTAATTAGGGCACCACAAAAAGGCATGGTTAGACTGCAGTAGTTTAATTCCTCAACAGGTAAGCTCAGTACTCCTTTGTGACTGGAGTATAGACAGCGCCAAGCCCACTGCAATAGCTGTGCCTTGATTTCTTTTTTCCCAGACCCCTGAAAAATCCAAAACTACCCTCTCCTGAAGAGAAGCAGCTTTCCCACTGAAAACACTACGACCTGAACATACACACTTAAGAGTTCCAGCTATTCAGGCCACAAGTATGCTCCACTTCTAAATTTATTTTTTTTAAATGTAGTTGAGGGCTTTAAGTTTTAGGACTCCTGATGTTAACTCCTGACAAAGTTATGCAGAAATCCTTGCATCTTTATCTGATCTAGAGCACATACAAGTTTTGACACAACTGCAAAACGAACCACATTACTTGTTTAAAAGTAACTCAAGTATCTTTAACAGGTAAGTCACACTCGTGTTAAAGAAGATGGGAGTTTTACCTCTTTTTCTTGACTTCTCTCTTGGGTTTCTTTTCATGGACTGGATTATCCCGTATAGCAGCATGAGCTTTTTTATACATTTCTTCCATCTTAAAAAAAAATAAATATATATATAAAATGTTACATTCTCCATAGTGGTCCAGTTGTAGGATCATATCAAAAATCCAAGATACCCTTATCCAAACAGGGACTAAACAGGTTTCATCACAATACAGTTTGCAATTTTGTGTGGTTGCCTATAAAATACTTCCTTCACACAGAAGATCACTGCCACAGCATGCTGAAATTCCTACTATCACTGTAATATAATTTAAGTATCCAAACCCACAACTTAGGCAAAAAAAGAAGGAAGTAATTTTATCCTTACTTTACAGTTAGGGAACCAAGGCCATAGAGTAACTACAGACTACTTAAAAGTCTCATAAATCCAGGCTAGCATCTTGCAGCTGAAATACTTTTTCCTCTGAAGCCTCTCAGTACCATAGCTTTCCTACATTTAAGTTAAAATCTACTTCTGCCTAGAATAAAATACTTCACATTTACTTATTAAACCAAAATTACTCCCCACAAACTCTGTCATCAGAGCTATAATCTTACCACTTTCCAGACCCTACTGTAGTAAACGTTACAGAGCTGCTTAGTAAGAGGAAAAGAGTAGAAGCTGCTGTGAAAGCAGCTACAGACCACCAAGTCTTGCAAGAATCACGACAGGCCCAGCAGCATCACCCCCAGGGATGCAAGAACAGAAATACATTAACAGAGGCTACACCCAAACAGCAGTTTCTGACTGCTCATACAGCATCATTGCACTTGAGCAATTATTCTTTTAAGATGTAAGACAGGAAAACAAAAGCCATCTGTTCAGTTACACAGATGATTAGCAGAAGGTACCAGAGGATTCCCATCTCTCTGCTGCTCTGTTCCAAAGACAGCTATGGCTCCATAATGGCACCAATTTTAAGAATACCTTTGCTGGTGGTTAATTAAGACGAACAGACCCCAGTTGTGAAAAATTTTCTAGATGTACATCAATAGCTAGATGTTCCTTATAAGTCCTAGACCCATTTTATTGCAATACAAGCTATAAATACTGTTCAGTATAATAGATGAAGTTGGCATTTACAGTTCAGTATTACTTTAATAAAGACTAAGTTACAAAAAATCAGCAGTTACCAATGTTTAAAAAAAAAAAAAACAACCCCAAAGCAATAAAGGGATAAAGAATGAAATTAAGTTTTCCACAGCCTAAGAAGGGGACATGGGAACATTTGTTTCAATCTTCAGGACCACTAATTGGGGAAACCAGGCAAGAACATTACAGGCAGCAAGACAAGCCATCTGAAAGGGGTTTAATGCTTGAAAGAAGTTAAAGAAGCACCTTGGTAATCGTACATATCTTCTAGTGTTTTGTACAAAATATTCTAAAATTTAAAGTAGTACTAAAATAAGATGTATTACACACTCCACAGTTTCATGAGCTGCTCACTTCTACAATAGAGCTAGCTTGGACTATTCTATATATACACCTAGAACTACCTATAGGGTCACACAAATTGTAAGGCAGATCTCACCTAGAGCACATCCTCACAGTTACAACCACGAACACCTACAGAAATTACAAGCTGTGGTGCAGGACTAGAAATGAGTGAGTAGCATGTATAGAGACTTCAAATTAATTTCCGTAATTGGAAAAAAAAAAAGTGGTCTATCTTAGAATACACTCCTGTAAGCTTGTATTTACAGGCAGAATGGTAAGCTTCACAGCAGGAAAAGGTCTCACTTCCACAAGATCTACAATACACTTAGTGAAGGAAAAAATATTTTCTTTGCATGGATAACATACAACATGAATCACATTATTTTATATATCCAACTTATTTGCATTACTAGAGAAAGCCCTAGCGAGACGTATCATCATCTCTATTAATGAATAAGAGCCAGATAAATCTCACCCCATCAGGTGTAACGTTGTTCTTTATGTATTGGGAGAACTGTTTTTTGTAAGCATCTTCGTCCTCCTCCATCAGGTAGCGCATATAATCTGCAACGTTTTGGCCCATGATATGCTTGCGGTGAACCTCTGCATTGAATTCTTTACTTTCCGAGTCATAACCAGGGAAACGTTTGGTACTGTCAAACAGCAGGTACAGGCAGGTTAAGACATATTGCCAAATCCTCTAACTGAGAGCCTGGGTGCTACAAAGAAGTGACTGAGACATCAGATTCTCCTACAGGTAACTGAGGGATGGGACCCTCTAATTAAAAATGAAGATATACAGAAAATTAAGAAATAGAGATTGTGAGCTCATCTCAGCTGCCATCAGTCCCGTCTTGAAACAGTGCAGTACATCATATACACACCAAGGACCAACTACAGAGTGTTCAGTCACTGGGAGTATCATCACGTAGCAGCCAAGTCACAAAAAGCAGACAATTAGCCAAGAATGAACAGGACAGCATGGGAGAGGGTAGGAGAACATGCAACAGAGCTCCGACTTTTTTTTTCCCACTGCTGCTAGCAGAAAGAAGCAGTCACCTGTCATATCAGTGTTAGGTAACTGCCAAAAAATCTCACTTCATTCATTCATATCCCATGACAAGTACTGTCAAAACTTCCATGTGGAAATTTTAAGTTCAGGTGGACTGCTCAGACCTACTATTGTACTGACAGCTGTAGCCAACGTCAATGGTACGTACAGCTCTTCAGAGTGGAATTAATACATACGCACAATTTGCTAAAGACATAAAACAACAGAATACTAAAGGATATTTACAAAGTGCATTCCATCAGTTAATAATTTTAAGTGAAACTAAGAAAACGGCTCTTAGTTTCTAAAAATTTAATAGCAACTCTTGATAGTTGCAAGATTCCCAACAGCACTATCAGAATTGCACTTGTGGTTTAAAAACCAACCAAAAAAACCCCCACGCCATGAACTAGGCTACATATTCATTACCAGCTTATAACAAAGTTACTTCAACATAAAGTGAGAGCGTAAGTAGACTGTCACATACAGAAGCATCTCAGGTTAATTCTAAAGGAATTCTTCCAAACAGCTGAGATTACCTATGAGGGATTGACAGACCACCGTCCACTGCACCCTTCAGAGCACCAAAGACTTTGTTTCCAGTAGTAGTTCTGGCAAGACCTGCGTCCAGATAGCATGTGAAAGCACCAGGCTTTCCATCCACGCTTTCCACGTTGTATTCATCACCAGTCACTTCAACTTGGCCTTCGTAGATCTTATCAAGACCAAATTTATTCAGAAGCTGTGGAGAGAGAAAAACAAAAAGAGGCACTTCTGAAATTCTTTCAATTTATTGACAAAATGAAGAGTCACCACCACCACCAAACACAAACTTTCAGTAGAGTCTTAATGTTTTAACAAATTTCCTT